CTTCTTCTTCTTCTTCTTCTACGAGCTCGTGTTTCATTTGGGTGAATGGGGTTGGGGGTTTGCCAAGGGGAAACAGATGCATTGAGAGAAAGTATAATTTGGTGGGGGTTTTGCAAACCAAGGAAGACATATGATTTTGTGAGGGGGCGGCAAGAGGTGGGGGTGTTGAAAGTGGTGGAGGTGTCTGCAAGATTCTACACCCAGGGGTTATGTTTCTCTGTAGTTATGCACAGTTCCTGCTCTGGGATTTGGGGCAGTGGGCCTTCCTGTGCTACAAGAGGGAGGATGTTGAAGCTGAGGATTCTCCTGTGTGTTGACAGTCTGCTTTTTACTCTGGTGGCAGCAGCTTTCCTGAGTACAGGGCTTTTGTAGCCCTGCCTTAAAAGGGGATAAGACTGATTCGTGGAGGATAGATAGGTCCATCAGTGGCCGATAACCATGGTGACTAAAGGCAATCGACCTCTGAATCCCAGTGCCAGGACACAACATCCGGGGAAGGCTTCGGCCTCTATGCCCAGTTGTTGGTCCTCCAGAGGAACTGGTTGGCTACTCTGGGAGACAGGATGTGGGATGGCAACCAAGATTAGGGGGTTGGAGCACTTTGCCTCTGAGGAAAGACTGAAGAATCTGGGACTCTTCATATTAGAAAACAGATGACTGGGGGGGGGGACATGATAAAGGTTTATAAAATTATGCATGGGGGGGAAAGAGGGGACAAAAAGAAATTTTTCTCCCTTTCCCAAAATATGAGAACTTGAGGGTATCCAGTGAAGTTGATGGGCAGTAGATTCAGGACGGACAGAAGGAAATGCTACTTTACATAGAGAGTGATTAAATGTGGAATTCACTGCCAGAGGACGTAGTGATGGCCACAGGAATAAACAGCTCTAAAAGGGGAACCTCCACATTCAGAGGCATTAAGCCTCTGAATCCCAGAGCCAGGAGAGGGCAACATTGGGGGAAGGCCTCGGCCTCTATGCCCTTTTGTTGGCCCTCCAGGGCAATTGGTTGGCTTGCTGTGTGATACAGGATGCTGGACTAGATGGACCAGTGGCCTGATCCAGCAGGGCTCTTCTTAAGAACATAAGAGATGCCAATGTTGGATCAGGCCAAAGGGCCATCCAGTCCAACACTGTCACACAGTGGCCAAAAATACCAGGTGCCATCAGGAGGTCCACCAGTGGGGCCAGGACATTAGAAGCCCTCCCACAGTTGACCCCCCCACCCAAGCACCAAGAAGACAGAGCATCACTTGCCCCAGAGCTTCTATCTATACCTTGTGGCTAATAGCCACTGATGGACCTCTGCTCCATATGCTTATCTAATTCCCTTTTGAAGCCGTCCATGCTTGTAGCCGCCGCCACCTCCTGTGGCAGTGAATTCCATGTGTTAATCACTCTTTGGGTGAAGAAGTAATTCCTTTTATCCGTTCTAACCCAACCGTTCAGCAATTTCATTGAGTGCCCACGAGTTCTTGTATTGTGAGAAAGGGAGAAAAGTACCTCTTTCTCTACCTGCTCTATCCCATGCATAATCTTATCAACCTCAATCATGTCACCCTTCAGTCGTCGTTTCTCCAAGCTAAAGAGCCCTAAGCGCTTTAGCCTTTCTTCATAGGGAAAGTGTTCCAACCCTTTTATCATTCGAGTTGCCATTTTCTGCACTTTTTCCAATGCTTTTTAAGGTGTGGTGACCAGAACTGCACACAGTATTCTTATGTTCTTATGACTAGATGGACCAGTGGTAAGAACTTAAGAACATAACAGAACATGTTGGATCAGGCCAATGGCCCATCCAGCCCAACACTCTGTGTCACACAGTGGCCGAAAACCAGGTGCCATCAGGAGGTCCACCAGCAGGGCCAGACCTGGTCCCACATAGTATGGCTTTTATGAGATCCTTTGGTTGCAGATGCTAACCTGGACCAATCTGCATGTGTTCGCTCTGCCATTGAGCTATGGTTCCTCTCCAACTGGTATTGGATCTCCAGTACTTCAGGCAAAGAGCGGGCTTTCTCCAGTGCTGCCATCTGAAACCCATTAACTGGAGACTGAAGTTGGAGTTTTCTGCATGCAAAAAAAACAACCTACCAGCCGCCCTGCAGCTTCAATCTTCTGGGATGCCCCATGCAGGGTGAAAATGGGGGTACTGTTGGGGCATTAGACCCTAACCCAGTGCCAGAGCCAATTTGGTGTAGTGGTTAAGTGTGCAGACTCTAATCTGGGAGAACCGGGTTCGATTCCTCACTCCTCCACTTGCAGCTGCTGGTATGACCTTGGGCCAGTCACAGTTCTCTCAGAACTGATCCCTCAAGGGCAGTTTGTGTCAGAGTTCTCTCAGCCCCACCTACCTCACAGGGTATCTGTTGTGGGGAGGAGAAGGGAAAGGAGTTTG